AGGCGTAAATAAACGAGTTTAAAACAAAGTGTTCGGTGTAATACCTGTATTTGGAAAATCGTTTGATTTACAACAATTACACTATCTTATTTACTTACAGCTGATTCAATTAACGTTGTCCTGCTATAACCATAAACGTTAGACCTTTAACGCTCAACGGATGATGGTTCTTTGCATATTTAGACTATTTAGACTGCAATAATACCCCGCAAGACATAGAAGACTCACGACAGATTTTTTAAAGCATACTTGCTGAAAGGCAATTTAATTATTTTGTGTTTAAGGTTAATAGGCGCGCTCAAAGTTTAACGTTTAAGGTTGTGAAAGGACAACCTTATTTGAATTAGCTGTATAGTATATATGGCGATATATGGTTGTGAAAGGACAACCTTATTTGAATTAGGTACAGTATATATGGGCGATAGAAATATGAGAAATCAGAAAAGACAATGTCATCTCGCACGTGTTAAATCATTTCTAAGCTTGATTTGTCCCGTTCTTGCGATCCTGAAATACAAGAAAGAACATATAAGTTCTAGTTTCTTGGAATTGGCTATCATGCACATCCTAACGTCTAAATAGGCGAGGCAAGAGGCTTAGTAAAAGCTCCACATGAATGATTACTTCTCTGTGGAGAAGCATTAAATAGGAGGTCAAAGGATTCAGAATCCCCAAATTCCTCATCATTAACAGGTGTGGCAGCACTAGCATTTGTCAAAGTTCTATTCGCAGCTGCCCAGTTTCTCCTATACTGCACCCGGTTTGCTTTCATATTACCCAAAGCTACAATAAATGATAAAGTTTGGGTTAGGTTTGTTGATTCAGCTGTTAAAAAGCTAGTTCAGGCCAATCTTGGAGTTCATGAATAAGTATAAATCTTATGCTACAGGCAAAATGTTATGCTACAGGTAGCGTGTAATAGGCATTGGATGTACATGTACAGTATACATATACCATTATGACAAAACAGCCTCTGGTATCAGTCATAAATATGCAAGGTAGTCATTGTTTATCTGTGTCTGGTGTACATGTAAAGAGTTACATAGTAATAGTTGATACTAATATTTATTCATTTATTTATGATAGGTGCATATACATTCAATGTATATGTACATAGACTGAAGAAATATATGGATTGCAGATTGTCTTTGCATCTGCAGAAATGTTGGAAAACTACCGTATAGAGCAAAGATCTCAAGATATAAAAGGTCAATGCCCAGCATAAAACACATAATAATTAGGATTAGAACATAGGGAGTGGGTTAGAGCTACATACCTTGAACATTCAGGGGAGGTCTAAGTTTGAAATAAGAAGGCTTTCATGAATATGAATGAAACATTTGTCAAAGGAAGAACTGTATGACAACAGCATCTCTCTTGATGACTTTAAATTATGTTAGCCTGTTCTCCTCTGACAAACCTATTTAAATATTATACATATGAAACCCTTCTTATTTAAAAACTTTGACCTTCCTTAAATGTTCAAGGTACCGGTAGCTCTATCCCTATACTTCTGCTCTAGTCCAAATTACTTCCCCTGTAATGTAACTATGCTTGTCCCCTGTATTACCACATGCATGTGTAGTTCAATATTTGCTTTTAAACATGCAGACCCAGACCTAGCTTGTTATAGTGTTATAGTGTATTCGTTATTAAACCATTTATACAGATTATAAAGCGCATCGTTTCGTGATATTTACAATTTTCGAATTACATACATTGGGAATACACAAAACCATGCGTTGCTGAAGTTATTCGTGGTTGAAAGACTGATGATCATAAAGATATTTTCAGAATACAAGTATAAAGTCTAGCTCCCCAAAATGACTAATCCTCAACCTTTGACCCCAATAGCAAATAATCGTTCAAATTGACGAATGAAAACATTTCTATAACAAATATAAGACTTGTTTACCTTTACATAAGACTTGAATTGTTACTTTATCAAACAATCCAACACACGAGAGATCTCGATCAGAAGACAGAATTTGCAATAATGCTGCTAATACAGACGCTACAAAATGCAAATTAAAATGGCATCACACACACAATTACAAACACAAATTTTATCAAAACCAATGGCGTATAAGAGGGACATATCAACTATATGTAACAGATAAAATATATACTTACGTTGTAGACGTCGAGAAAGTTGCCAAACAAACAAACGAGTACTCAAATTGAAAGATATACCTCTTGATAAAGCTAGTCTACACACAATACGTTCAGGGTTGGTACGCTTCCGCGCATGTGCAAAGCCAAATGATATTTTAAAAAAAGCCAAATTGTACTAAAAAAAGCCAAATTTCATTTTTTTTAAAAAAGCCAAAAAAGGGCCAAATCCGTTATCAATATTTTGATGCCGCAATTAATTGAATTTATGTAAAATAGGGGCGGACCTCTGCGAAGTGTAGCTAGAATGTTTGTCATTGGTTAGTTTTCAGCTTTACGATTGGCTGAATTTCCTGAAATCTGATTGGATGACAATAGAAATATGTTATCCTCTGACAAGGATGCACAATTCTTAGATGTTGCTTCATTATTTAACTTTCGTATTTAAATACACTAAAAAATATGGAAAATTCCTGCCACTTGATAAAAAAGCCAAAATAGAGCCAAAAATCCAAACATTTTTTTCAAGGCCAAAAAACAAACAAACGAGTACTCAAATTGAAAGATATACCCTTGATAAAAGCAGTCTACACACAAAACGTTTGTTCGCTTCGACGCAAGCACAATGACAGTTGGCGCCAGCAACCGAATCAGTTATTTCAGTAACCGTATATGGCATTAATGACCATATTTGGATTCATTGCTTTCAATCCACCTTTCCAACGGTCAATGCACGTGTATCAAATAACAGGAATTCGGACAAACAAACACAAAGTCGACACACGACACACTATATATTTTATATAGAGCCAGGGCAAAACATTTCATTTTAAAACTCATTTTATGTCTCAAAATTTAAATTAAAAAACCGTATAAAATCATATTTACTGTCATTGCCATTTCGGCCTTGCTCTTTAGACGATATCGGCATATGATTTCATTATGAAAACGGCGCAAATTGAAACAATCTTAGCCTTATTTAGGCCTACATATGATACACACGAGGTCGCTGAAAATAAACTTTACTCAAGGCAACCATCAAGTTCAAATATATTTATCATTATATATCCGCACGAGAAATTGTATCAACTCTCTTTCAGATAAAGCCATCATCAGGGAGCATGATATATACATACTGATGCGATCTTTGCAAAATTAATAATTTCTTTATCATTTATACATGCCACTTGCGAAAGTTGAGTTTCAACGTTGCAGCGACCTTCATAAGCAATGTTTTTGTAACGTTGAATCACTTGTAGCCAAACGTCGTAAGACAACGTTACTGCGACGTTAAAATATAACATTGCCGCAACGAAAAATTATTTTTTATCGAACGTTGCGGCAATGTCAGCATAAAACGTTCCTACAACGTGGATAAGAAACGTTAATCAGCAACGTTTAACCAACGTTGCGACAATGTCAGCAAAAAACGTTCCCACAACGTCGAGAAGGAACGTTAAACGGCAACGTTTAACCAACGTGGCGGCAATGTCAGCATATAACGTTCCTACAACGTGGATAAGGAACGTTGATTAGCAACGTTCCACCAACGTTGACACAACGTGTTCTCGTTTAGGCTAAGAACTACAATGTGGTGGGAACGTTGTATTAATGTTAAGTCATGACTTAACCTAAATACAACCTTTAGATAACGTTGGGATAACGTTGTGTGCTAGCTGGGTAGGCTTTGCTTTTCCTATATGGGCTGCAGACCCCTGCAGTTAAAATGGAATGATGCCGTACAAACTTTGGTCGCGGTCATTAAGTCATACTATTGCAAGCCTTGTGTTTCAAGCCTGAAATACAATGCAATTTATAATATTAATAATAATGAAATCTTTTGGCTGGTCGAAGTGCTCGGGGATATGTATTTGTAGTGCACTCATTATGTACACGATCTAACAGTATATATGCTGCTAAAAATGCGCGTTTATGTCGAATTTGTGCACTGCGATAAACCTATTAACAGCCCGAGCAAATTTTGGCACATGCAACTAATCTCTTTATAAGTTGTTGAAATTGGATTATGTAATTGATCTTGACAGAATGCAATAAAACATCTGCGAATGAATGTTATTGCAACGTGCATGTGATAGCCTTATATTCTTGACTGTCATGCATCTCGACTTCATCGATTTTCGCTTGTCGAGTTGATTTTTTAACACACCTACCGTAGTACTGCGGTTTCATCCTACGGGAATGCGTAATGCTTCATATTTGCATTTATGTGCACGTTGCTTACGTCAGCTTGAAGCAGGTTTACTATATGTATGCATATATATATATATATATATATATATATATAAATATATCCTGACGACTACCCAAGAGATGACTGAGGGAAGATAAGACACCGCGTGTGTTCACTAGCAGTATTGCACTTACAATTTGTAATTCTAGTAACCATGAGCTATATTGTTCTGCGCTAAAAACGATGTGTCTATAAGTACCTGCGCAATATGCTTGCCCGAATAAAATGGTCATTCGTGAAAATTGATATATCATCCAAGAAAAAATCAATAAAGGAAAAAACTGACGCAGGATCACCGCTTCTAAATTTACCAAATTACAAGCAGGTCAATTCTTATAATTTACGGAATTCGATATGAAATGCGGGATGAGAAATTCGAATAGCTTGTATAGAATTTATTTTGGTTTCATTATAAGCACAAACAGAAGCATAGAAAAGCTTTGCGTCATTGCGTGGTTTTATTCTTCGTTTTCGTCGCCATATTTTATACTGTAGTTGTATGCGTTTCCATTTTATGGGCATGTATACGACTTACGACTACATATAGAATGGTCAAATTTGACTGCAAATATATATGGTCATATTTGACTTTGAGTTTCACCAAATCTCATCTTCCTCACGAACTTTTCGTGTAGGAATATGAGGTGAATATATCATAAATATGAATCACTTTAAAACTTTTTACAACAAATTAGCTAAATAAATTCTTGGTGGCCACACATATCTCTAAGAATCAGAGCATCAACACGTAGTCAGTTTATAACTAATTTTTTAGGCCTACCTACATCTGCCTATAGCAAAATTACCCTAAAAATAAAAAGAATTTTGTTACTCCTGCAACAGAACGCCGTCCGCATATTCAATTACGATGGCCGTAATTCCGCAGTCCGAATGTCCGCCCTGAAAGACAACTTAACACTCGACCCTGGCATGGCAAAAGTGCGCAGTTTTTCAACTGAAGCATATAGCAATAGTTGACTGCCCATATAGAAACAGCGGTTCTAAAATATAGAGTGTGCGCACAAAATTTGTTGCAGAGCAAATATAGCAGTGCAATCGCCCATATAGGAACGAAAATGCCAAACGCATACACAGGGGAGTTTATACTCACCATTTAAAAAAAAAACAGATCCTCATCATCTTCGAGACATCTCTTGTGACACAATTTGTGCCTCCTATATCTATGTATATTTATATAATAACGTAAAGAATTCAAGCAATTTCATTGGTCGAGAGCCATGATCTATAAGAGGACAGACGCACGGAATGACGTCAATGCAATTTTCTTTTTACCGGTTTAATTTTGGATTTTTTTCAGTTTTAAAAGAAAGCTGAATGTTCTTATCACATATGACGTCATACCGTGTATCTATAACTGAACAGACAACGGTTCATTGTAATCTATTTGTTAAATGTACTTATAGGATAAAAAAGCAAGATTCTGCCAAACACATGTTTTCAATGGATTACTCCAGTATAATTTTGTCTGGCAAAATCTTTTACTTTTTCTACTTCTATTATTTTGCGTCAAGGGTTGTATCAACACACAGATTTATTCAAAAAATATTTTAAATATATATTAGTTATGTATTTATTGGTTAAAAATATTTTAGTTATGTGACCACCAAGCTAACTATATAAAAGTATGCAAACCTGATACCAAGCCACTTTAAATTCAGGAAACCTTTCAACTATTGTTTATCAATAATGCCTGATTTGGCTGATTTCCCCTTGTCATAATAAGCAATCTACAGGAGTAAAGAAGATTATAACTCTACTTACGACGCGGAGTATTGGGTAAAATTAAGATCGAAGAATTTTGGGAAATAACCATTATTGAAAATGACATTCCAACAACACTTTGTCATTTGGTTTCACAGCTATTATTTTACAAATTCTCAATGACGATCGATTGCAAGACCGTCCATATATAATTAGGGGCCTTAAGATGCGCGGCGGGAAACGAACGACGGGCGGGTAGAAAGCGCGGATGGACTGGAACGAGAACGCCGTCGGGTACATGAAGTGTTATAGAGAAAATGTTTATTACTGCCAATATGGGCTCCTTCAAATATACTCGAAATTCTCTGCTTTTGGCTTATGACGAAGATATCATTGACGACGAAGAATTTGCGCTCTTGTATGATCTACACACATCAAAAAATCTTTGTTTTCCTTACGAAGAGTATGATCATTTTAACTTAGATGCTGTTGACAGCGTCGAATGCAAAGCAGAATTTCGTGTGGAAAAAAATGATATACCTCTCTTGGCCAATGTTCTTCGTATACCAGTGAGATTTCGATGTCAGCAAGGAACAGTATGCGATGGAGTCTAACGATTACGCATATTACTTAAACGACTCGCTTACCCATGTCGTTTTAGTGATATGATACCTCGCTTTAGTAAACCAGTTCCTGTCTTGAGTATGATCACAAATACTGTTGTGGATTACATTTATGAGGAACACCAACATCGTATAACTGGATGGAACCAGACAATCTTTAATCCTGACAAACTTGAGCAATATGCCGAGGCTATATCGATGAAGGGAGTAGCTTTAGATAAATGTTTTGGGTTTATTGACGGGACTGTTAGATCCATATGTCGCCCTAAGGAAAACCAGAGGATTGTTTACAATGGGTACAAGAGAGTGCACGCCCTTAAGTTTCAGTCAGTGACACTGCCATCTGGAATGATCGCTCAAATGTTTGGCCCAATAGGTAAAGAAGAGTGCAAAATAATTAATCCATTGAGCCTCAATGCACCTTACTTATTTTTTTTTTACTTGTCTAACGCCAGACAGTTTTAATGAGTTAATATACAACCAATCTATTGTGAATGATTGGAAAGTGCAAATATACT